TCAGTCTCAGTCTCAGTCTCAGTCTCAGTCTCAGTCTCAGTCTCAGTCTCAGTCTGGTCTCTGGTCTCTGGTCTCTGGTCTCTGGTCTCTGGTCTCTGGTCTCTGGTCTCTGTCTCACTATCTCTCTGTCTCTCTGGTTCTCTCTTTCTCCAACCTTCTCTCCATATAGCTCTCTCTGTTTCATTCTTTACTCAGCCCCTCTTTCCTTCTTTTACTCGCTTCGTCTCTCCCCATCTCTTCATCAACTTTTCATACATGTAATTTGATTTCCCATTTCAAGACCTCAGTAGCCTGTGCTTTACTTGAAGTTACTCCTCATTTTATAACAACTCCAACCTCTAAATCAACATAAGTTTCCAATTTGGAAATTCGCTTCAATTGTTTCGTCAAGATAGCGGCGCACTTAGCGGTCAGTTGTGGCTTGTATGTCAATTTGGTTTGGGTTATATGTTTGTGCTTCTTCTTCTCGTTTTTTATTTTTTTTTTTTTGGGCAGCAGCAGCAGCAGTGGAGGCAGCATCTGTGTGGACCAAATGTGGACTTAGGACGTGCTTTTAATTTTTAAAAACTGCTTTTAAAACGTGATAAAACACGTTGAAGCTGCAAATAGTTGTAAAAGACACACAGAGAACAAGCTACTATATACATACATATGTACATATATAGAGAGATATATATTGTATATTTATATATGCAGCAATATATACATATATACACACATACATACATTTTTTTTTCTTATAAAGCGCACAAATCCCCAGCCGCTGATGAGCGACAGAGAGAGCTATATGGGGAAGCAGTGTAAGTGCTGGACGGCAGAGGCAACAAGAAAAAAAAAGTGTAAAGCGTGCATTTACATAATGAAAGATGTAGCAATATGTGACAGCATGTGTGTGTGTGTGTGTCCGTCCGAGTTCGGCTGGGGATAAGCAGCAAACGGGACATCATGTGCGTGGCTGCTTTTTTTTCCTATATGCAAGGCAAAGCGCGAAGCAGTGGAGGACAAACGAACGAAAAAAAAAATGGAATTATAAAATATTGAGGCGAGTAAGAAATGCACAAAGCACACTCACACACACGCACTTGCATGCACACACATACGCGGACACACAGACAAGCAGTGGTCGCCGTTTGACTGCTTGCCCCGCACTGCTTGCCAACCGTGGGTCTATGTAGATGGCGCTGTGAACCACATACAGAATTAATGTCCTTTTAGATACAAATGCAATTTAGAAGTGTGTGTGTATTTGGGTGTGTGTGTGTGTGTGTGTGCGAGACGCCCCCAAAAAATGCTTTCACATGGTCAGCTCAGCATCTTTTACTCCACTTCCTTCTTCTGCATCGACTCTCTCCTTCTTCTCTTTTTGCTACATAATTTTGAATAACATTAAAATTATTAGCTACAAATGCAGAAAAAAACGAGAAAAAATTGCAAAAAATGGGGCGTGGCATGGCAACAAATGTGCATAATGAGCTACGGTCGGACCAGGCTGGCAGCCAGAGCTGGGAGACGGGGCGTGGCAGGGTAAGTCGGTGTCTACGCCGAGATTTACGCGCGACACATTTTTTATTCGTGTTCATTTTTTTTTAGGGCTAAACACTTTTCAGTTGATATCGCAAATCCTTTTTTACAGCGCTTACATAATGATATGTGGGCAACGGCTTTTTTTCGCCCCCAAAGTCCAGCTGCTGCGGTCAACGAGCAGGCGGAGGCAGGAGGAGGCAGGCAGAGGCAGGTGGCAGCTGGCATTTGCATGCAATTTGCGCTGTGGAAAGTGAGGGGAGAGCAGGAGGGAGAGAGAGCGCATGATAGAGCTGATAAGAAACCGGAGGGAAGCCTGAAACTAAACGGAACTGTTCATCTGTCCAGCTGAAGCAATCGCACACAACCAAAAAAACCCGACGACAAAAACAGTTTCTAGTTCTCTTCAAGACTCAGCCTCGGCGTAAGTCCTTGTGCTTCCCTATAGAGGCTTCAGTTTATATTTCTTTCTCAGTCTTATTATTAATTTTTTTTTTATATATTTAATTACAATTTACTTTAATTAATTATACATTGCTTAGCTTATTTAGTTTCAAATAAAATTCCATATTTTATTTAACTTTGAAAAAAAAAAAAAAAACATGGGTCAGTCGCATATGAATAATCCTCTATTTACATATGCTTTAAAAAAATATATTAGACTGGGAGAAATTCAGCAATAATTTTGATCAACCTACAGCACATCAATAAATCCAGAATTTCACTTCAATTATGTTTTATCTTAAGACTATAGTTTTCTCTTGAAAATTTTCTCTCTGTAGAGTTCACGATTTTCACCCTTCATTATTCTCTATTTTCTGGGTTATTGCAAGTAAAGACGTAGAGCAACGATCAATAATTATATGCGTGCCATACTTTGATCAATTGCCTCTCTCTGCAATTCTCACGATGCTCATCTGAAGCCAATAGTTGATTTTTTCCCATTCACCCCCTTAGACGATTCACACTATTCCCAGTCGAAGCTCTAAGCTCTAGCTCCCTACAGAGCTGCAAGATTTAGGCAATTCTCATGATGCGTATCGGCAGCCGCTGTATGCGCTTCTCACTGAACTTATTTAACAATCCATCAATCCAATCAGCTTTACGCTATACCTTAATCAAATCATTATCTCTGCAGTTGGTTTCTCATCTTTATTTGATTTTCTCCCTCTTTACTTATAGAAATTGAAAAAAAAACACATTCCAAATTCGATTTATTTCAAAAATTTATTCAATAATAAAATCAGACATTTATAAATATGCGATTTAGATAACATTCAAATATCAACGAAAGCACAAAAGACAAGAATCTAAGCCATATCCATTAATGCGAATATGTTAGGGTATCCGCTAGTCGAGTACGCTCATATATGTATAGGTATTACCATATATGATGTGATTGTAAACCGCCAGACTTTGTAGCTCATTGTAAGATGTATACTCATGTTAAATTGCTTAACATTAATTTAAGAAACAAAAGTGATTCCCATGTTAAATTTAACTGCCTTGTAAAGTTAATGTTTAGATTTATATATTATATTTTCGTCAGCTCTTTGTAAAGTTAAGCTCTTAATAAATTTATCAATTTACCAGTGTTACTCCATGCTCATGTTAAATTTGTCAACTTGATTGTAAAATTAGTCTGCCCTCATCTTATTCTATGCATATAAATAACCTGATGTTAAGTTTCTGAACTCTCCATATAAGTTTCTAGCTCTATCTTCAAACCTCAGCATGACTTTGATTTGGGTTTATCGTAAATTTCATGTCGCTGATTTTAAATATTGGAATTTGCCTTCTGCAATTACAATCTGGTTTGTCTGGCAGATAAATTACACTTACTAATAAGATTTTAGTAGTTCTTTTTGTTTTTATTATTATTTTTACATGTTTATATATGTATATATCAATTGTAGTATAATCTAAAAAAAAAAATAGATGAAAACATTTGCCTCGACTTCTCTTTGCTCTCACAATGGCAATGAAGCTGTTGGCTTAGTTTTACGCTTGCGTCGCTTGCGCGCCTTGCGGCGCAGCCGATCGAATTCTCTTATGTGCTTAACAATGAAATGCTTCAGATCCTCGCCCTCATACTGACGGCAGGACATTGTGAATAGTATAAGCGAATTAATATAGAAAAAAAATCTTATATCATAACTATGCATATTAGAATTGGGGCTCTGATTGCCGTGCTGCTCCCGCCTCCCCTGGTGGCTTCCACTCTTTTGCTGATTGTTGTTGTGATTGTTGTTGTTGTTGTTGTTGTCTCTGTTATGATTGTAATGATTGTGTTTGCGCACCTTTGGCGAGGGCGGAGGCACATCCTCATCGCTGTCCGTCGAATAGCGACGATTGCGTTTGCCGGCCGCATTGAAATGTTGACGTAAATAATTATAAATGCTCATATTTCTAATTGTGATCAAATTGATGGTGTTGGCGTTGGGATTGATGTTGATGTTGGTTTTGTTGATGTCGCTGTTGCAGTTGATGCTTGTGATGTTGTTGTTGTTGTTGTTGTTAACGCTCTTGTTGTTAGTTGTGTTAATGTCGCTTGTCGTTTGCCTTGTGAATGGTCCCGATTTATGCAGCGCCACATGCTGTAGATATGGCCAACTGCCGCACGCCATCTGCGCGCGTGTTGGAATCGTTGTTGATGTTGTTGTTGGCAGCATTGGCTCGGTATTGTTGTTTGCATAGCGAACATAATGTTGATCTACAGCAGTGACTGCAACGCGTCAATGATCAGCAATCAGCGGGCCCCAGAACATTTTCGATATTTTGGTTTCATCTTCGGTTAAAAAGAATTGACGACCCAAATGTACAAACTCCTTGAGCGACACCTGGCCATCGCCATTCTTGTCTATCACAGCGAATGAAATGGCAGCATCCTCTTCAGATAGTCCCAGACAGCGGAAGAAGAGCTTATATTGTTCGAGATCCAAATGGCCAGTGTGATCGAAGTCAACGGCCTGCAAATGGAATAGTAAATTTCAATTAAATAACATAATTAACCGAGATTTGTTCATCGTCGTGTTTACCTTAAACAAATAGGGCAAAAAGCGACCAATGCGCTTAGCCATTTTCTTGTCGTTCAGTCGATGATGCAAATCGGTTAGGAACTGCTCGGCAGTCACTAGATTATATGGGGTTATCTCGCCGAATTGCTCCTCCCAGGTCTGTTTGATCACCTCGTTGAATTCTTCGGCCATCTCGTCTGACAAATGGCCCAAATCGCTGAAGCGTTTCGCCAACAGCTTGAAATCATCGTACGAGATGACGCCATCGTGATTGACATCCATGATGCGATGCAGGGTGCGCATTTTGCGGCGCCAGAACTCAGAATCGCCCTAAACAAAACAATAATAAAATACAAAATTAAGTCATTATAAATTTAATTCGAATTCAAAATATAACTGCCAATGCTCAGTTGCTTGCGTGCACTGCTTTGTAATCAAACACGCCCACTGATAGAAGTTCAACAGCAGCCGAGACCACAACCTTCCACTGCTTACATGTCTGCGCCTGCGTCACGCACGACTGCGGCGCAGACGTCGAGAGTTCAAAATCCGACATTGAGCCAAAATCGACTTTGCAGCTTAGAAAACACGTTTCCCACCCAAGCACAAACACACGCAAACAATGAGTATACCAGTTTAAGCCACGTGGCTTGCTTACCCGTTCGCTATGCTTCACATTGGCATTTCTGCGACGTCGTTCGAACTCGTCATCCGAATCGGAGTCCGAATCGCTGTCCTGGCGGCGCATAGTGGCTGCTCCAGCAGCTTTCTTTGAATATAGGCGCACATTCTGCAGCGCAGTTGCCGGACGGTAGACAAGGCTCCATGCACCATGTGCTGAACCAGACACCAGGCGCTGCAAATGATAACAAATAAAAAGATAAAATTCCATCAGTTTTTATTGTTACAGTTTGGACATCATTTTTGTATTGCAACTGCTTGTTTTTGTTGTGCAGCAACAACCCACTGCTTGCCTACTCCATTTCGAATTCGCTGTGTTTGGAGAGAAAACAACAAAACACGCACATAAATCAACGCTGTTAATGTTGTTTACTGTTGCATTAACAGCGAACAGTTACACAATTTTTGGCGCTCACGCAGCGTCACGCCCTTTAGCTTATATATACATATGTATGTATACATATACACATATAAGCACCTACATATAAACAAATAATATGCTCTTAAGTATGTTTTTTTGTTATTGTTTTGCTTTGTTTACTGTTTTGTTAAGGTCAGTTCTAGATTCTTGTCGTGGACCGGTTTTCACCGCAGCTTAACAGCGACCCTGAGACCCTTAAATAGTTGTCGAGTTTTGACAGTCACTGACGGCTCAAGTCTCCCCACGTGGTGCACAGTGCATTTTCAACTATGGCTTTGTCTCCCCTTGACCTTGTGCGTCTCAGCTCTAGGAGCTAGAGTAGGATAGATGCATGCAGATCAACTGCACGCACACGCACACGTACAAACAGAACCAGATACTGTTATATGTACATGGATGATTACAACATTGAATCTGTTGTACGTCTATATACATATGTGTGTGTGAACATTTTAATGAGTTTTTGAATCTGTTAAGGCTTGTTGACAGGTTTTTTTTTTTTATTAAAGATAACTTTGTATATGCAACGTTTCTATTGTTTTTGGTTTCTTTCTCTTCTGCTCTTTTGTTTTTAATTACAAGCAACAAAAGTTGTCAACAGCTACGAGTAGCTCGAAAGTTTTTTGATAATGGATAGCTGGTCTCGTTATGATAATCATGATGACATCATTAATTATGAAAAAAAAAAATAGTTGAAATTGGAATATCGAATAAATTTAGCCTATTCCTAACACATACACATATATATTTAAGCGTGTGCAAGACACAAGAAAAAAAACAAGCTCACAATTAATATTTAATATATGCCGAAAACTAGCACAAAGCGCACATCGCAAGTCAACAACAATGCGAAAACGGAGAGAATGAAGCTAGCAGCGCACATTTGGTGCCGGAATTGGCTAGAACAGCGGAAACGGTTTGTGACACGGCTAAACGCAACTATCGCCGCACGCAACGCAATGGTAGGTTTAGCTGGCTGCGATTTCCGTTTCGCTAGGTAAACGGTAAACATAAAACAGCAGCCGTTTGCTATTTGTTTTTTGTTATTGTTATTTGGCGCTTTGCGCATGCTTTTGTTGACAGAATTTGCGCAGTTCGTCAAGTCGCCCCATTTTTTTTATTTCTTTTTTGGGGATGGTTTGAAAGTTGCCTTCACTCAGCGGCGAATTTGTTGTTTTTTTTTTGTTTTTCTGTTCGTGCATTGAAAGATATGTGTCTTTGGCAGTATTGATTGTTGTAGTAGTAGTAGTAGTAAAGGGAGGGAATAGTGCTAAGAAACTATTGACAATTATACAAATATGCATACATATATGTATATGTATGTATCATAGTGATCTATATGTAATATATGTACATATATAAATAAATATAATGCATTATCTTCGTCTTAGCTCTGCCACGCTTACAATTTGCTTCTCAAAGCGAACTTTCTATGCCATCTCTGTCACACACATGGTGGCCTCATTTTCTTGTAACTATAACAGCTGCCCCTTCCCTTCTCGCTTGCTCATCCGCTCTTTTGATAAATTAATTTAACTAATACAAACGCACACAAACAGAGAGAGAGAGAGAGAGAGAGAGAGAGAGGACATATACAAACGCTTACATTGTTGTTGCAATCGCTTGTTGGAAAGGTGGAAAGGGGCTGGTGCTGCTGCTGCTGCAGTGCGCCCACCGTTGCGGCCATATTGCGTTCCAGGATTTCTCTCGAAGTACGCAATAGACTGCGGCTCACAATGGAGAGTGCCATGTTTAGTGTTGTTTTTGTTGTTGTTGTCGCTGGTATTTTATATATTGATCCCGACTTAACGGTTAAATTGAGTATTTAAACTCTCTTTATTTGTTTGCTCTTCTTTCTTGCTGTTATCCCCTGTATCAGGCAAGCGAAAAAAAATGTGCAAGCTGACGGCGTTGCTTTGCTGCAGGTATTGTTGTTTTTGTTGTTTTACAGTTGATTGTTGCAGTAGCAGCGCGCATTTAACAACCGGTTTAAAAGTCACAATTTCAAAAATGTTTTTCTTTAAACAAAGTTGCACTTTTGTTTGCTTTTGCGTATTACACTTTTCAGCTCCTCTTCAACTTCTTATTCGTCTTCTTGTTTTTCTTGAACTTCTTTGATTTCTTTCCGTTCAACACAACCGTTCGCTGGCGCGTTCAAAATCGTTTTGACACCGACTGTTGCGGCGAAAAGAAATGAAAACAACGGCGACGGCGACAGCGACGGCAACTCTGTACCAGAAGCGGCTTTGTATGTATGCGTGCTTGCGTGTAAGAGCAATGTGCGTTTGTGTGCATGTGTGTGTATGTAAAATTTGGAGTGCGAGCAGAGAAGGGCAACGCAGCGATGTTACCAGAAAAACAACTCACATACATACATATTTGAGCCATCGCGGTAATATTGAAAACAACGTCAACAGATGTTACAGGCCGGTCAGTGACTTGCGAGCCGCGTTATACATCTATTTTTTAACTATATTATAAATGCATGATTGTATGTTTTAATCAATTGAATAAAGAGAAATTTAACTAATGCATGCATTTTTGTAAGTAGGTATGCTCGTATGCACGTAAATTTACGGTAGTTTGTATGCTTATTGATAAAGTAAACGAAAACTTACATATTGAGGTCGATGTGACAGACTGTTTGTTGAGCGAACGAGCCAGACATACATACATACGTATATTTACACACAAACACACATCATGTAAGCGCCAGCGGCCGAACGGTCGAGCGAGTTTTCTGTTTTTGTTCTACTTCTACTTCATTGCCTCACCAACACATACTTGCATGTTTACCACACAGATAGCGTGTATGTGTGTACACATACTTCTATGTATGTCTGCATGAGCTTGTGTTATATAATTGAATTTGCTCAAAATATAATGGGTAATCTTTACTCTTCACACTCTAATAGCGATCCTGCAGGAGCACAATGGCACAAAAAAGTAAATAAATAAACAGTAAACAAGAGAAACAATGGAGGGACGGAAGAAAAGTTCTTAAAAATGATCAGCTGTTCTGCATCAGCTGTTATCCATGCAAGTATACATACATATGTACATGTTGTTCATGCAGATGCACATACACAAATACATAAACATTTGTATATTCATATGAATGTATGAATGTTTTGCCAAACCAGCAAATGTGCAACAAGTTACAAGTTGCCTTGGACTGCAAGCAGTCTCCAGCAGCGCCATATACAAATGTATGTATGTATGTATGTGCGACCTTTTGCTGTTTGGTGGGGGTGCAATGCACTCTGGCTTCAATTTCAATATTAGAGTATGTGTGTATACATATGTATGTGTATGTCTGCATGTGAACGTGTACAAGAACAACGTGCGCATCGGCATCGGCTGACTTACAAATCGTCACGTAACGTTTTAAGCGCCGGCGAATGCAGGCAATTTACATGAGACGACAACAGGTTAAGGAGAGTGTTTTGGTTACCTTGCAATGTGCATTGTGTGCCTATAATGTAGGTGTGAATATTTAATTATATACATAAAATGTAAACAACTTTCAATGCTCTCATAGAGCTTGGCACACGCCGATGTTTACGCTAAGCTGTGTATGCCTATAGAAAGTTCGATAAAAGTTTTTGAATTTGCAAATCATATAATGCTGAATAGATAAATTAACTTTAAAGTAAAAGTCGATAGCTGTATGTATATGTATTGTCATTAGAGTACAATGATCTGAATAAAATATATGTAGGTGTGTATGTTTTCCGATATTCGTGATCAGCATACTAGCTTCTTTACGCTCTTTACGTCACAGGCGTAAGTCTGGAGTTGCCAAAAAAAAAAAGAAGGCGTAATTACAAACCACATCTGCATGTTAAGTAACAACAGATGAAAATAAAAGATGGCGGGCTTTGGTGTAAGAAGTGTATGTGTTTTCATGCATACATTTGCATACATACATACATATGTATATACATATAATATGCACATGCTTGTGTCACATGTTAATCTGCGACCGGCTTATTAAATGGCAAAGTATTGTGAACATACATATGTATGTATGTATGTAATTATTTATGTTTATATACATAAGTATACATATGTAATTATTTATATACGCATAGTTACATTTATAGTATTTTTATTTGTATGTACATACACGCGACGTGTTTAATTGTAATTGTAAGTTTAATCGCTTTTTCAGCCGTTGATGCGTGGCGGGAACCTGAAACACATACATACATACATACATATGTATGTATGTACACAAACGCATACTTATGTAAGACATGTGTGTCTGTTTAGAAGCTTTGTTGTTTTCGTTCTGTCTTTTGCTTTAACATCTGTTGTTGTTTTCTTCTTTTTTTTTTTTTTGGTGTTGGTTTTTTTTTTTGCGCTGCTTAAGCGTTTGGCGCTTTTGTCAAGGTTTTCTTTTTCGTCTGTTCGAGATTTCCGCAACGCCATTTAGCTTTTGGCGTACGTGTTGTGCCTCATTGTCGTCTGCCGGCTCCACAGCAACAACAGCGACAACAACATAAGAGCTGTTTTGATACTGGTATTTTCAATTTCATTAATACTGCGCTCTGCAATCGTATTGAGAGATAATTTCCATGCAGCATGGGAGAGTGATGCGGTTTTCGTATGCGGATTTTGGCACGTCAGCACTGTTATCTCTGAGAGCATGGGAGGCTGTCAAAGCGGGGGATCTATATATGGGTGTGTAATGCTGCTTTACACATCTGATTTGAGAATAAAATGACACAAAATTAAGTGTGTTGAGTGTGTGTGCGTGACTGCATGTGAATGCGTTTATTTCTTTAGACATGCATGTGTGTGTGTGTGTTTGAGTTTGGTGGCGTTGCCACAGTTCCACAAAGTCTACGTGCGGCATGCAACGTATCCTTTTTGTTGGCGTAGGCTCAAGTGGAAGGCAAATGCACTTAAATGTTGCCATTTATACATATGTATATGTACATACATGTATGTATGTGCTTGCACATATTTGTAAGCATATTTACAGTAATTCATGGACAGACAAAATCAAGCGCCTTATCAGCGACCTGCTTGTGCTATTTTTCATTTATTATTTTTGTTTATTGTTGTTACAATTGATAAAAAAAAAGAAAAAAAAAAAACAACAGCAACGGACATTTCGTCCATCATTAATTTGAAAGTGCGGGCGCTTTGTATGTAAAGATTAGGCCGAAAAATAATCACAAAATTAACGAGGGCCGTGTGACAAGTTCCTGGCTATACTTTAAGCACGTGATATGAAATGTTCTCCATTGTTCTAGAAAGCTTTGCCTACTAAAGAAGTATTGAAAGAATTTAGACTTTTAAATATTCATTTACATATGTATGTACGTTGATCTGCTTCCTGTTAAATAGTGTGTATAGTAACATATTTATATGTAACATATTATATGTAAAATATTAATGTTGAAATGATTTATCGTATGCCCCAAAGCATTGGCGAACTCCCTAAACGGCCCTCGCCGAAAAAAAGTCACAAACAGATTTGGAAATAGCTTCGATGAATTGGGTAAATAAGAAACCAAACTGGTAAACAAAGTTTTTAATTTATTTGTATCTTTTTTTTTTTCATTTAGTTTGCGAGTGTATTTTGCCGTTCGTTTTAAGTTGCCAAAGTTCAAGATGTTTTTTTTTTTTTTTTGCATCGATCCAAGTCCAAGTTTGAAACAAAATACATTTGGAATAATTAGTCAGTGAATTAATAGAACTTAAAATTGATCGCCTAACAGTTATAATTATGCAAAGATCCATTGGCCTTGTAGAGAAACAACAACAAAACAAACAGCAAGAGAAATCAAAACATTTCAAACCCATAAACAGCATACAAACTTACGGCTGTGCATGCTACGCTTCGCTCTCTCTCTCTCTCTCACACACTTATTTTTTCTGCGGGTGTAATCATGTGTGTGTGTGTGTGTGTGTGTGTTGGTGGTATTGCTTTAGCTGTAATCCACACCAGAAGGGCGCATCATGGCTGCCCTGACAGACAGCGATGCTTTCTTCCTACAAGTCACTCACGAAGAGATGAACTCTTTATTTCGTAACATTTGTATTACATGCACATAGTAAAATAATAATTAAGCAATAATATAAATATTACGATATATTTGTTAGTACACACATACCATGTACATATAAAAGATAGTCATACATATGTATATTACGCTTCAACTCAGCATTCAATTATTCATTATGTAGAGCATTCACTGTGCCATGTGTACTGTTTACCCCTTCCCCGTATTGGTCAAGTGCTAAGTGGTAAACAGCAATTCGACGCTTCGCCTGGGCCTTCGGCAGCACTTTTGTAAATTTATGGCTATTTTTAGGTGAAAATACAATTCGCTTTATCTCTTAACGAAAATAAGTAATTTGTAACTTCAGCGACGTTGAAGCCGGCACGTTAGCCAAAAAAAAAAAAAAAACAACAACAACAAATCGTGCGTAAACAAAATTGTAAAAAAATGAAAAACAAATAAACAAACAATAACAAAGCCCCACAACCTTACAGAACTTATCTCATTACAGTTTTGAAGCCATTTGGTGTAAATTAACATCGTATACGTAAGACGTAAAAAGCAATTGTAATTGGACAGGTGACATAATATCATGAAAGCAACAAATTTATGTTGAGCTAGAGCTAAAAGAAACATTCGACAGTCTTTGTATTTAAACTTGCGCGCCTTATGGAGTAACTCAAACAGCTGCAACAGCTGTTAAGAGTCAGTGCTGGTAGCGAGCACTAAATGTTGATAACAGAGATGTATATCGATAATAAAATAGACAGAAATTGCAAAGCACAATGATTATTTTTTTCATTAATCAAAAAAGTGAAACTAGCTAAGAATTTAATAAAATGTACTTATTCTTAATTATCTTATAATGTTGCGAAATTATTCTCAAAATTAATATAATTGCATCGATATATCAATGCATTTACATCGATATAGTGCCAATATACGCACTTAACAAGCAGTGGCAATCGCATTAATGGCACTCGATTTTAGCGACTATCATTATCGACAAGCTATCTGTCAGAGGAAAAAGAGAAGATTGCAACTGTAGCGGAATAGATTTATTGATTTTAATATTCTAGTTAATAAAACTAACCAAGTGCTGAAATTAATAGCGAGAAATCTGCAAAATGGAGGCGCTGGTGAATTACAGCAGCGAAG